TATTTTCTCTAAACTTATATTTTGCTCAAAAATTACTCAGAAAAGCAAAAAATTGCTCGAGGTCGCTAGAATCTCAAAAAGTTGTTCCAAAACTCCAAACAATTCATAATGGCGATCAAGCCTTCTGACTTGAGGCAAATAGAATACCGGCAGATCAACAGGGCGGAAGGTTAAACTTCCACCAACTTGCAAAGCGACTAGACAAGTTTTTTCTCTTAATTTATAGTGTCAATGACAGGTTGTGTAATGAATATTTCTATGACCGTGTCGTGTGATTGAAAACCTTACAAGAAATCAGGTGTTTATAAGAAAATTGAAAAGACGTTTATGATAAGGTCGATGTACCATACAATGCATAAACAGGCTTGTTTGTGTTAAGAGACGTTTGAGCCGATATAATAAGTAAGGCTTGTAGCCCTATACATGCAGTAAAAACCCACGTATAAGAACCTAAGTTTTTCCAAGCTAGGCTAAGAAGGTTCTTTAATCCAAGTATGTTAAAGCCATTTACGAAGGATATATAGATCTACATGTCAGTTGTCTCATTGCCAGGGTTTTATCTTCATTTTACTAGCTGTAGAGCTTGTTGTATTAAATTTGTGTATTCAGTGTTTGACTGAATTTCTCAAAATAATCACCTGTTTCAAATTGTAGGCTAAAACAGGTTCTTACTTAAAAGGGGTCAAATGGACAATCTTAGTCTAACAGGTTCTTAAAATCAAGGTTCTTATAAGCAGGCTTTTACTGTACTCCAAGCGAGAGTGACTTGATCATTGTAGAGTTTATGCCTGGAAGAGATTAAAAAACGGTGCACTAATGTCAATAGTTCTTTGTACAAGATACCTAGAATGCTTAACAAAATGACAGAGACCTATACAACGGTTCACAACTAACCGTGTTCAAGAAAGAGGCAGTGTGTCTGGGTTGAAATAAAAAAAGGGAAAAATTTCTTTTTCAGGAATTGAGAATAACGTAAATAAGGAGACGTGGACCATTTTCAACATTATTCTGAGCTCACTGGCGTCCACGTGTATCAAACGCCTTCATTTCAGTCGACAACAACTCAGATTTGATTGGAACAGATCTTTTTGTCATTGCCAGGTAAGTGCCGCAGCAGATGTATCATCTTTGCCAAAGGCTTAATGACTGGGAATGGAGTGGAAAATAACAACAACAACCAACTGTTTTATTTGCCAACTTAAAACGTTTACAAAAAACAGAATATATTAAAATAGATCAGGCAAAAAACTAAACGAGCTGAGTAGTTACAAATCTGGTATCTGGTGGGATAAGTTATGACGTATATTTTAACGAAATATTTTCAGTTTAGTTTAGGCGATAGAACACCTAGGCCTATCGAAAGCCGGTAAAGAATTCTTGCACTAATCAGACGCTGTAAAGTTGTTCACCTAACATGATCACAAAAAAATCACGAAACTTTTCGTTTGACATCGCCAAACCGATCCACATATCAGCATCAGGAGACGAATGCCGGAGTCTGAATATAACATCGTTACTTACCTAAATGTGGGCGTTGGTTGTCGACACACTGACGTCATTTAATAGGCTTTGAAGCCATCAAGTGAGCCATTTTCTTTACCTGTTTAAGAAATCTTCTTCCTCATTGTTGTCGTTCATAGGAAGTATCATTTTATACACTGTCAGAGTTTACCGGCCTTCATAATCGTATCCTGACCAAAGGGGCGAAGTCAACGGAGTTTGCTGAATTTGGGTAAGTTTTGTCAGTTCCCGTCTAAAAAATCTAGCTTTTCATGACATAATTTTTGGCGATCAAAGAACATATACAATTATTACTTTTACTGTAGAATGTCCATTTTATTCACGGTGGAAAGCCACAAGTGCACCGTTGATACATACGTTGCGTAATGTACAGACTTTCCTCGCCAGATTCATGTCTATAACTTGACATTTTGTTGAGTGAACTTCCTTTGCTGTGTTTTACGAAATGAATGCACAAATATGCCCTTATTTTGAAGAAAGCTTCTGACCTAGGTCGGTCCGAACAGAAAAAAAACGCCGGTCAGGCAATACAAAAAGCGGTTATTTGAATTCAGTTATCAGTCATGAGCCACATTCTGTTCCTATCACCAATCTTGAGGTTAGGACAGTTCTTTGTTGAATGTTGTAAAAAGTGGATAATTAAATCGATAAACTGAATCGATTTGACGCTGCGTACATAATGGCAGATGAATACTACAGAGTTAATAAAATAAATAATGATTTGGCGGTAGCACATCCAAAAAGTGCAGGTTTTTCTTCTACCTTTCCTGGTCGAATTGGAATTTGAAAATGTTGGCTTTTGAGGAGAAGGAAACACCGGAGAACCCGGAGAAAAACCCCTCAGAGCAAAGAAGAAACCTACAACAAGCTCAACCCACACATGGCGTCGACGCAAGGAATTGAAATTCTCTCTTCAGACCACTTCACCTTCCCATATTCCCTAATATACCTTAAGACTTTTGTGGATCTATTGAAGGAAAAGAGGTTCTAGCGTGTTTTGGCCATCTTTACGCTCATCCCGTCTGGTAATCGAAAACGTTTTAGTTAAGTTACGAGCAATGGAGCTCACTAAATAATTACATTTTTCTCCTCCTATTGACACTTGTATGCTACAATTTGTCCACTTATATGGTTTCCATGTTATTTTACCACATTTCAGTTCATCCATTGACCGGCTTGGATACCGAAGGCCAGAGATGACATTGCAGCCGTTTAGTGACGAACAACTGAATTTCTTTAAGTTGTCCATGTGGGACAACACCCATGGGGGTGGCCCTGGTTTCAAGTCCTGGGATGATTCAACTGCTGTGAGGAATTTGTTTGCCAGTACAGAGGGTGGTAAGACTAAAGTTCCTATTCACCAGTCTTATAATGAATGGGATTGCACTAACCTGTTCCAGGCTACAATATTCGCGTCGTCTTTTGCCTTGCCAGACAGCACAGACTCCTTCACCACACTCAGTGATTTGTACGTGAAACCCCGGGCGTTACATCCTAATAGTTTCCATGCATGTGTGCTCAGCCCGGGTGGAAACGATGTGGAGACCTTTGCACTTGCCATTGATCAGCTTCGCCGTCTTAGGAATTCACTTTGCCAGCCGAAAAATTCTGAGATGGACAAAGCTACCTTTGATCAGCACGTGAATTACGCCAAACATGCGTTTAAAGCCCTTGGTGTCTCGACAGCCCAAATCGACGCTATTGGTAGTTTGACGGAGTCCGACTTTTCCACAAAGGAAGTTTGCAGATTGAAAATGGGACTAGAGGACGAGACTCAAGCGTACATAAATTTTCTCGAGGAAGTTACTTCAGATATCAGTGAGGTAAAAGCGTTATTGCATTCCATAAAAGAGGCAAAGAAGGAAGACACCAAAAATATTACTACAGGAGCACAAGCAGAGTACGCTACGACTCTCGAAGGTGCAAGTTCAGATATCAAGGTTTTAAAGAAGATGTGCGTAGAGGACACTGCCAGCAGGGAAGTTATTGCCAGGTTGGAGGAAAGGATAAATGAGTTGAAATCAGGACAATATGAACGTAATGCACCAGCTGGAAATTCAGGTATGAAATGACAGACTGAAACGATAGCGGTAAAAGTTAAGCAACGCCGTATAGCTATTACCTGTCTAAATGGCGCTTGTAAGTAATATGGATAAGAGAAAGAATGGGACGCCTTCTTTCTTGCGCCCATATTACTAATTACAAGCGCCTGCTACGCAGGCTAGTCTACCTATTTTCACGCAAAGGTCTGATCTTTTTCTCAGGGCAAGGGCGGCATTACTCAGTTATTTTAAGACCCCGAGTCAGACCTGTCCCGTCCTGGGGATCGAACCTGCGACCTCTCGCTCTGCAGTTAAGCGCTTTACCGACTGAGCTAGTACTACCGCGGTTAAGTGCCACAATGATTGTATACTTCAAATGTTGTGAGCGTATGTTATGTAAAAGTAAATATTTTGATTATCAATAGGGATTAAAACTTGATCAGACACACTTGTCATTTATATGCAGAACGTCATGTACTTTCTAAAGAGAAGTTGCTCATGCAAACTTTGTGAGGCAAAGTGGCTCCAATCCTGCGTAGCTGGTAATATAGATACGCTAAGTGCTACATTTCAAGAGTCGAGCGCTCGTTTGTCACGCTTTTGAGTACTTAAGACAAAAGAGTACTTCCGAGCGCTAATCAAGACTGTGAGCTGTAGAGTCGAGGCTTGGCAGGAATGGGGAAAGTAAACTCCCCAGATGGGAATAGCCTCCTTCGCAGAGGTTTTTGGATCAGAAATGGCTGCGAAGGATGCTACCAGTCTATGGCTAATAGCCAGCCAGCTACGAACCCATGTATAAATCTTCATCACTTAGCTTATGGATCATGTTTTTCTTTCTTCCAAAAAATACATTTCTAACGGTCCATGACAGCAAGTGATAGATTTTAGATCAATCTTTAATCCAAGTCGATTTGTTTATTTGTTTAGATATTTGCACTTATCTTCTGATTAGTTTTCCTTTTGTTTTTTTAAGGTGTGAGGTCATCGCCCCTTGGAGCTTCCCTTCCCTCAGTGGTTCCTAATTTTACTGGGCGCCAGAGCGAGTGTGAGGATATCATCAGACACATGTCTTCTGAGTCTGTCCGACTGGTGTCAATTTGGGGTTCACCTGGATTCGGAGAAACGTCGGTTGCGATTGCGGTTGGACATGCCCTCCAGTCTCAGGGAAAGCCCGTGTATTGGTTCTCTCTAAGAGGAGTCCGTTCTAAAGCAGATTTGACTTCAAAATTTCTTAGCTTTTTGAAGCAACTTACAACAATAAAACAACCTCCTGGTCAGCTTCCATCCATCGATGAAGAGGTCTGCCAACGTTTCAGCAGTGTTTCAAATCCGTCTGCGTTTATCCTTGATAACTTCGATGATTTTTTAGAAAGTGGTTCGCCGAACGCAAAGGAAGAGGTCATGCAACTTCTCGAAGAGATTCTAAGGCTAAATTAAATGGTGACTTTCGTCGTGACCACAAGAGAGTCTCTTGAGTATATGGACCTCCATTTTATAGGTCATAAGGGTTTAAGAATAAGGCCATTAGATAAAGCCTCAGCTAATACCTTAGTTTCTGAGTTGCTTCCAAATGCAAGCACTGCAGACTGCACACAAATAGCGCAAATCTGCGGACAGGTTCCTTTAGCTGTGAAGTTAATGTGTTCTTTGATATCTGAAAGTAGTGCTCAACCACGCCAGATTATAGATGACCTCATGATGTCCTCCACAGAAGACCGTATCATCGAAATGTTAAACAATCCAGATTACCCAACTAGTCACCGAATACAGTTCTTGTTTGACTCTTCTTTCAAGAAACTCACAAAACAAGAAAAAGATGCACTTGTATCCTTAAGCATTCTCCCTGAGAGTTTCAGTACAGAAGTAGCTGCAGCCATTTTAAGTGACACAGGGTCTATGGAAGCCAGGAAGATATTAGCAAGCCTTCGAAGAAAGTCTCTTATTGATTCAAGCTCTAAACCGGGATCATTTACAATGCACAAGCTCTTGCAATCATTTGCGAGAGAAAAAGGAGAAAAAGAGATGACAGAGACGTTTCTGAGCTCAAAACGTCGTTTGAACGCGTTTTACGTTTCCCTTCTTGAGAAGCTTAATGAACAGTTTCTTACCGGGAACTCAATGGCAGCATATATTGAATTCTATGAAAATAAGAAGAACATCATTGAAAGTGTAGTAGAGAGCTGTTTTGATTCGGAGAGAGCTGACAGCGTTTATAATGTACTGGTGAAAGGAGAGATGTTTCTTGCCTCGCTTTTTTCGAATGAAGCGAAAAACTATATTCACATATATGACACAGCCATAAAGGCAGCCAGTCTGCAAAAGAAAGACGAATACTACAGACAATTACTTTCCTCCAGAGCTTTCGGTGAGGTGACCTGGGGACGAGAAGGAAAAACGAGACATCTTCTCTCAAAAGTGAATGAGCTTCAAGCCGCAGCTTCCCTTCCTTCTAACCTGGAAAAAGGAAAATATTTGTGCTATATGGGGATCTATCACTTTATTACAGAAGAAGTTCTTAAAAGAGGCGCTATTATCACTTGAAAATTGTAACGGCGCGGAAAGACGCATTCTGGAGATGGTTATTTTTCAGATACTTGCTGTTTATTTTCAGTCCCTTAACGACCTATCCAGTGCAAGAGCTTTCTATGACAAAGCAATCCGCCAATGTAGTGTAATGAGGGATTTGGAACTGCTTATTATACCGTCAATGAAAAACGAAAACAAGGAATCTATCAATGAAGTAAAACTTCAACAACACTCGGACATCTTGCTTGGTCAACCACTGAAATGTCAAATTATCTTTCTATTAAGCAAAGCAACAAAGACTTTTGCCGATGCTGACACCAAGCAATGTTTAAGCAATTCGCTTTTCCAAATCATAGAGAATATCGAAAGAGAGGCTCAAATTAGTCTCGGATTGCTCACTTTTCAGGGCGTTGCGACAAAATTATTGTGGTTTTCAAGTAGTGAAGACCCTCAAACACTCTACGCGTACAGAATAAAGTACTATCAAGCAGCCCTGACGCAATACAAAGAAAGTTCCCCAAACAAAGACAATTTAAACGATGTTAAACATTTACAAAATGAAGCACATTCAAGAGACTTGTTAGACCTAGGTAGAGTTTTTATAAAAAGAAAAAGCTATCCAGAAGCACTTCAGGCAAACCAGCAAGCTCTCGAGATATCGCAAAGACTTTTAGGAGAGGAACATGAAAGCACTGCCGACAGCTACTTCAGCGTCGCTGTAACGCAATACGAAATGCATGACTACAACTCAGCTCTCCAATCTCATCAGCGTGCATTGGCTATCCGTATTAAAGTGTTTGGAGAAGAACATGAAAGAACTGCTGACAGCTACGGGCAACTCGGTCTAACACAACACGCAATGCATGACTACACCTCAGCTCTTCAATCTCATCAGCGTGCATTGGCTATCCGTATTAAAGTGTTTGGAGAAGAACATGAAAGAACTGCTGACAGCTACATCAGCGTCGGTGCAACGCAATACCATATACATGACTACAACTCAGCTCTCCAATCTCGTCAGCGTGCATTGGCTATGCGTATTAAAGTGTTTGGAGAAGAACATGAAAAAACTGCTGACAGCTACAGGCAACTCGGTGTAACGCAATACCAAATGCATGACTACACCTCAGCTCTCCAATCTCATCAGCGTGCATTGGCTATCCATATTAAAGTGTTTGGAGAAGAACATGAAAGAACTGCTGACAGCTACAGGGACCTCGGTGCAACGCAATACCAAATGCATGACTACACCTCAGCTCTCCAATCTCATCAGCGTGCATTGGCTATCCGTATTAAAGTGTTTGAAGAAGAACATGAAAGAACTGCTGACAGCTACAGGCAACTCGGTGTAACACAACGCGAAATGCATGACTACACCTCAGCTCTCCAATCTGATCAGCGTGCATTGGCTATCTGTATTAAAGTGTTTGGAGAAGAACATGAAAGCACTGCTGACAGCTACTTCAGCGTCGGTGTAACACAATACGTAATGCATGACTACACCTCAGCTCTCCAATCTCATCAGCGTGCATTGGCTATCCGTATTAAAGTGTTTGGAGAAGAACATGAAAGAACTGCTGACAGCTACATCAGCGTCGGTGTAACGCAATACCATATACATGACTACAACTCAGCTCTCCAATCTCATCAGCGTGCATTGGCTATCCGTATTAAAGTGTTTGGAGAAGAACATGAAAGCACTGCTGACAGCTACAGGGAACTCGGTGTAACGCAATACCAAATGCATGACTACACCTCAGCTCTCCAATCTCATCAGCGTGCATTGGCTATCCGTATTAAAGTGTTTGGAGAAGAACATGAAAGAACTGCTGACAGCTACAGGCAACTCGGTGTAACACAACACATAATGCATGACTACACCTCAGCTCTCCAATCTGATCAGCGTGCATTGGCTATCTGTATTAAAGTGTTTGGAGAAGAACATGAAAAAACTGCTGACAGCTACAGGCAACTCGGTGTAGCACAATGCGAAATGCATGACTACACCTCAGCTCTCCAATCTCATCAGCGTGCATTGGCTATGCGTATTAAAGTGTTTGGAGAAGAACATGAAAAAACTGCTGACAGCTACAGGGACCTCGGTGTAACGCAATACCAAATGCATGACTACACCTCAGCTCTCCAATCTCATCAGCGTGCATTGGCTATCCGTATTAAAGTGTTTGAAGAAGAACATGAAAGAACTACTGACAGCTACAGGGACCTCGGTGTAACGCAATACCAAATGCATGACTACACCTCAGCTCTCCAATCTCATGAGCGTGCATTGGCTATCTGTATTAAAGTGTTTGGAGAAGAACATGAAAGCACTGCTGACAGCTACTTCAGCGTCGGTGTAACACAATACGCAATGCATGACTACAACTCAGCTCTCCAATCTCATCAGCGTGCATTGGCTATCCGTATTAAAGTGTTTGGAGAAGAACATGAAAGAACTGCTGACAGCTACGGGCAACTTCGTTTAACACAAAACAACATGCAGAAAACCTGTGTCTTGTCTTAAAAGGGCCTGAATAGTGTTATGAATATGCGTAAGTTTCCAACATGTTATCTGTGACTACTGTTCTGAGCTTGACTGTTTAGAAAGGTAAAAAAAAAACTTTATGGTTTATAATTAACCTTCATGGTTCCCTCGGTTTCTGCGTCAACGGGGATCGTCAGTATTTTTAATACGCAACTGCAGGAAGCATCTTAAGGTTAACGCTGACATTAAAGAAAGTCAAGGTTGTTCTCAAAACAACAACAAGCTTTATTTGCATTACCACACATGGACAAATAGTATTACAAAAGCTACTTCAAGAGAAAAACAGAAAAACCAAAATTTCATCTAAATGCAATTAATTTACTTAGCTAACAATTTGTCACGGAAATCAAAGCAAGCTGAAACATATTTAAACAGGAGCCCATGGGCTCCTGATTTAAACAATTGTAATTAATATAGTAATTTGAGGAGTTCATCAGTTCACTTATCAGATCGTTGACGTGTAATTGGGTAATATTTGGAATCAGAGATTGAACTTTATGGTAAAAATTATTCCTTATTATTTAAGCAATAGAGAACGTTTCCCGTGTTTGCATAGCCTGATATAAACACGAGTGTAACTAAATGTCGTGGGTCGTGGGTAGTGGGTAGAGGTCGTGGGTCGTGGGTCGTGGGTGTGGGTGTGGGTAAATGTCGTGGGTAAAAAAAAAATTCCCCCAAAAAATTAAAAAGCAAAAAGTTGTAACATACCAGTCCTATTCCTTCCCAGAGGCGTCCGGGAAATTGTTTTGGGGGGAGGTGGGGGGCGGTAAACCATTTGCCCAAAATATTCTCGCAAGTGTCCGAAATTTTTACAAAAGAGTCGAAAAGAAACGAGGGCCATATTGCAACAACATAGGCCGTACTGGCGTATGAAGTTGGCTCGATACAGTTTTCCAGGTTTGAGCATAAACTACGTCGCCATAAACAAACATTAGGAAAAATTGCCACCACAGTGAACGAAAATTTGTCATGATCAGGGTTGCAATGACATCAAAGCTGTCATAGCATCGAAATCACGCCACTACCTACTTTACTTCAGCAAAATTTTAAAAACCACTCGATAGAGTTCCCCAAACAAAAACAAAAACCCACGACATTTAGCTACACTCTATAAACACGAGAGGGGTTGGGAGAACTCGAGACAGTTATGCAAACCCGAGACGAAGTCGAGGGTTTGCATAACTGTCTCGAATTCTCCCAACGCCTCGAGTGTTTATATCAGGCTATGCAAACACAGGAAAAGGAGAAAAAACGCAAAACTCTTTGTATGGCTCTGATTAAAAGAGAAATTCTTACTAGTCACAAAATCTTGTCCACGAAGTCTTGCACGCGTAATCAGTTCTTGTTTTGCAAAAAGATGCTTTGCAAAATACGGATTTTTCTCGCTTAAAATGTCAGCGTAAGCGAAGAAAAATTGGCTCACCTTCTTTGTAACGATTTTCCATGTTTCGGCCGACGAAGGAATGGGTAAATAAGTGAACTTGTCGAGTTTTGAACTCGAAAACTTTTTCAAATTCCTGCTTGGGTGATTAGCGCGCAAAAAGCCAAACGACTTGACGCCACAACCATGTTTACATACTCTCATGCAAACACTCCTCTGGGCCAATCTGAGCGCGCGTACTATCTTAGTTATTTTATAAAGAGTATTAAGAACAGTGAAAAAAAAAGTGAATTTCGTCTTCTATTTGATTGGACCCAAAGTGTGGGCAATATCTATTTTCTCTAGAGATCTGATTTTATCTACCTTGTTCTAACATTAATTTGTGATTGCTAATTCGTAATTTGACCAATGCCTTTCTCTCGGCTGTTCCTCTTGTTAAATCTAGATAATTAGAAATGGTATGCTCGTTTTTAAAAGATCTATAAAATTCTAGTTTTTGAAAATGTTGGAGGGTGTTTTTCCAATAGGCGATATATTTTTGTTTCATCAAGCGTACAGAGGTTTTGACTATTGCGGTATCTAACAAATTAGGATTAAAGTGAGATATGTCCCGGATCGATCTTGTTAGCAAAAATTTGCCAGCAATTTTTTTTCGCAGTTGTCGCAAAAGAAATAATTGAGATAAAATTATGTCAGAAAATCACTTACAAATATCGCAAAAATCGCAAAAATAACAAATCTAACAAGAATCAAGACTTAGAAAAAAAAGAAGCCAAGAAGGGCCCCATAATGTCCGTAAATATCGCAAAAATCGCAAAAGTAACAAGGATTTTTCTTGCTAGCTAGAAAAACCCATGACAAATATCGCAAAAATAACAAATGTAACAAAATTTTAGACTTAGAAAAAAATAAGAAACAAAGAAGGGCCCCGAAATGCCCGCAAATATCGCAAAAATCGCAAAAGTAACAAGGATTTTTCTTGCTAGCTTAAAACACCCATGACAAATATCGCAAAAATCGCAAAAATGACAAATGTAACAAAATTCCACACTTAGAAAACAAAGAAGCCAAGAAGGGCCCCGAAATGTCCGCAAATATCGCAAAAGTAACAAGGATTTTGCTTTATCACATACTCCATGAGAAAGTCAATTACAGAGTGACCTCTCAAGTTTAAATAGCTGGAGTTCTGATCACTTCATGAACTTTAACATTAAAAAGTGTAAGCACATTGCCATTACAATGAAAACAGTTATCTTTGTTTAGTAAGAAAGGTAATGAATTTTATATTGATAAATTTAATTCCAATAAGGAAAGATTTTTATAGTTGCTTATAGTTTTTTGCTATTTTTAGCATAGGTAACTTTATATTCTATCTAATAAGCACATAAATAAATCATCTGACAATTATACCAATCCGATGAATTTGTATCTAGGATTTAAAATTTTCTTGTATATAGTTTTTATATTTTATTGTTTATTCTAGGCAGTTTATTCTTATAAGGAATCCCCGTGTTCTGTACAAACTGTCCTGTACTGTCCTGTCCTGAGTCATCAATGGCTCCGAACAAACGAAGTACCTCAAGAAATGCTGTTCGCCTATTTTGCACAATAATACAAAAGATTTTTTGAGAAGAATTAGGCGCCCGCATTTGCCGAGCCTTTTGGAAATGGTCTAGCCTATTCCAGGGGTTCAGATAGACGAGGCGCCACACTGACTCTACCATTTAAACGCCTGGAAAAGGCTAGAAATGATCTGGTGCCGACATGGTAACCCGTCCCGACTCGACTGTTTTCCCCTGGGTCTCTGACGATTTGTTGGAGGCGCCAATGCAGGGCATAATTTACTGTTTTGTTTGAATTTTGCTGTTATTCGCCTTTTTCCTTACCTCCATAACTTAAAAATATTGAGATCAGCGCAGAATAACCGCAAAATACTTGTCGCAAAATTACGTGTTTACTTGTCATGCTGTGTGCTAGGGGAAGATGGCAAGGGTTAATAGTTTAATACTAACTCCAATTGGGTACAGCCATTACGATTGACTACTTTTTCTTCATCTAATGACCATGGCGATTTTAAGGCGACGAATATTTCCAGGGGTTTCCCGGTTTTAAAATGGCATCAGGAGAAACCCCAGGCAAACAGTGAATTAAAATGATTCGCTGATTGGAACTTTTCAACGTGGACCCTGATTTGCTATTATCATAAAAAAAACTAGAACCCCTACGTGGAACTGACCGGGGCCCAGTGGGACACGGGATTGCATAGATATAGTTTACCTCTAGCACCCCTCCCCCTCCTCTGTGGAGGCTAATACTTAGTCTGAATTAACTCATGCAGAAGAAAAGCAACAAAATGCATGAGAAAGGAGGATGTTGTTGTAAGTTTGTTCAGTGTTATTACAGCTAACGGTCTGTGTTATAATAGTGTTTTTACACTGTGATTTCAATAAGTGTGATCTGTATAAGGTTTTTATTTGTTTCTACG